AAGGTCGTCGGCTTGTTTCAGCTCGAGTCTTTCTATTTGAGCAACTGTCATGGCAATTGGGTGAAAGCCCCTTGCCAAAGGGAACTGAATGCACTGCTGTAACATGAGCAAAGTCAGTCAGGACCCCTTCATGCGCTTAGCTTTCGAGCACTGAGGCTTCTCCTGCGAAGTCACCGATGGCAACTGCCAGGCGGGGAGCCAACCAACCAACCCAACCCAACCCAACCCAACCCAAACCAACCCAAACCAACCCAAACCAACCCAAACCAATCAGAGCCAGCCAGCCAGCCAATCAAACAAGCAAGCAAGCAAACAAACAAACAAACAGAACAATCAAACAAGCAAGCAAATAGGCAAACAATCCAGCAATCCCTGACTTTCAACAGCCCCTGCTTTTTATCAGTGGTCCGATTCCTGTTTTTGGAGGCAATCAAAGGGATGTCTTTCATTTGTTGGGTATTAGAAAGAGAACCAGCGGGAAAGCAAACAAAGCAACAACACTGTTCGCAATCAAACTTCCAAGCAAATAAGAGAGCAAGGATGCAAGCAAGCAGGCAGGCAGGCAAGCACGCAAGCAAGCAAACAAACCACAAGCCAACCAAACAAAGCGTCTTTTGAGGAAGAGCCACCGCGGAAACAGCAACCCGTAAATCATCAACACAAATTGAGTGCGGGATCCTTTACTTGACATGGCTGGTCTTTGGTGTGACCTGAAAGGCCCCTTTGACCTTTCGGACACAGCCGGCTTCTTCAGTAAATCCGCAAAAAGCCCACTTGCCCGAAGCCGACCTGTTCATCTGTGAACCTTTTAGTTGTCGCTTGGTTTCCTTGTAAAGGTCCCAAAAGGTGACCGCCTTGTATTTCTAGGTCCCAAACCACAACTGACAAGGTGAGACCCACCTTTTGCGACCTTCGGGGCTTGGCGGTCCAAAAGGGTGTTTCTCATAAAATGAGGGGCCAACTCCTCAAGCTTTCAGTTTTGGCTTCCCTTCAAAGCCATCCAAGGGTTCCCTAAGGCAAGTTTCAATCCAGGCTGGTTTCCGTTTGTTTGCTTTCCTGACCCATTCAAAACGGGCTTGCCTTGTGAGGCAGACGTCAAGCGTTGTTGGGTCGAGGAGCTGCTGGACGTGTACCTGGCGCCGCTCAGCAAGCACGGGCTGCCGGCCTTGGCGCTGGAGCCAACAGAGGAGGCCGATGCCCCGACGGGGCCCGGTTCGGAGAGCGGGGGTGGGGTCCAAAGGTGATCCCCCTTTGCTGGGTATTTGCAGGAAAGAAAAGAAAAAGCAGGAAACCATGCAGTTTTAGGGGACCTCCTATTTTTGAGACACACCCATTTTGCGGTATCTTAATGGGAAACCTGGAGAAAGCAGAACCCCTGGTAGAGTATTCGGGGGGTGTCCCCTGCTCCGGGAATCCTTCACTTTTGGGGCCAACACCTCCCCTATTAACAGGAAGGGTATATTAATCCTGTGTCCACACTATGTTTGATGTGGGGCAGCTCTGGCTTGCGGCCTTTTCGGGGGTCTCCTTCAAATTATGTTTGATGTTTGGGGTAGACGAAGTACGGATCAGAGTGCAGATTTTTAGGGCGCGTGAGTGTTTCTCAAAATGGTCCATGCTTCAGACTTTGGTCCATATTTTACCATCTGGAGGTTTAGCATATTTGTGAGGAGACCCAGATTTTGCCATCACAGGGGATTCTCAACATGGATTTCGGACCCCCGTTTGCTTGGCATTTTGGTGGTTTCACACATCGCCTTTAGGGCCAACTTTTGAAGTGAGCCTCCTGAATCACGTTTTCACCTGCTGGGCCTGGCCCAAATGGCTTGTCCAAGAAGCACGTCAGGTGAGCCTCCTTCCAGGTGACGTTTAAGGGGACACAGGGAGCCCTGTTGATACGCGGATTCAAGCTAACATGAAACCCAAAAGACGGTGTCCTCCAAGACTCGAAGAGGTGACTCCTTTAAAGACGGTCTTTTGTTTAGCTTCACGCTGATGTTGAACGATTCACGAACCTGTTGGATAGGTTTTGGGAGGTGCCCCACCCAACAGTGAAGGTTTCCCCGCAAGTATTCATCAACCAGGGTTTGTTCATGGGTCAACGTTAGGGCGACCTCGGGCCCTCGAGCAAAGGCGATTCCTTTTCTTTGATCCCAACCCAGTTGACTTGGTTTGTTGGTCCAGTGTCCTTAAAAGGAAGGAGGTCTCCTTTTTCGTGGTATTCCCCAGGATCTGGATTGGGATTGGCCACGCCTTCATTTTGAACGCAACCAGTTGGCCGGCGGGTGCATGGATAAACTTAAGCTGTCCACCGGGTCTAAAAAGAAAGGAACGCTCTCAAATATGGTTGGTGGTTGCGTAAATCACAGCCTTAATGAGGTCCACCAAATCGTCACCAGTCTAATTGGTCCAAAGGCAACACAAAAGAACACCCAGCTTTTCACTTGCCTGAAGAACCGATCCCTTTTTCTACCTGAGCTGGGCAACCGGGCAACTGGGCCCACGCAAAGACCCCGGAAAGGCCTTTAGGCAGCTCTTTGTATTCAACCAGAACGGGGGATTCTCAAAAGGGGCCTTTGGTTGACGGCACCTTGGGCGGGCGGCAGGTATATGTTTGACCTCCCAGAAAGGAAAAGGGTCAAAAGGAAAAACCAGAAGGTTTTTCACAGGAAAACCCATCCCAATGTTGCTGAAGTGACCTGAGGCAACCAGGATATGTTCACGTGTTATTTACACCCCCTTTTGGGAACATGGGACACTCTGCACCAGGTTGCTCAGAGCCTCAGTATCAACAACCCACATTTCGAGCCTTTCGATGGGGTTGAATGGGAACAGCCATGAACACTGTGAAGGGCTACCCTTTAAGTCAAGAATCAGTGATTTGGACGGCCTATTAGTGGAGTTTCAGAGGTGGGCAACACACTCTCCTTGTAAAAGGTGGACAGTACACTGTCTTGTCAAGGTGTGTAATAAGTGTATATATATATAGGTATATATATATATATATGTATGAAAACCAGAGAAAAAGAGAAATAGTGCACATCGAAACTCGGAAGGAATCCCCCCTCCCCCCCTCCGAGTCGAGGTCTAATGGCCCGCGTCGGACGGCAGGTGGACTGGGCCTTTTTTGCCCATGTGCTGTCTCCGGACTTCGCGGCGACAGGGCGGCTGCCGCTCGTCCGTGATACATAGTACCTATATAAACATATGTGTATATATATATATATATACAGATATATGTATAAGGGTATGTACATGTGTGTGAGAGTGCGTGTCCTGCTTCTTTGTTTGTCTCTTCTTTCTTTTTTCTTTCTTTGTTTGTTTGTTTGTTTGTTTGTTTGGTTGTTTGCTTGTTTGGTTGTTTCGTCTGTGCGTTCGTGCGCTGGCTCATTCGGTTGTTTTCTTGTTTGCTTGCTTGTTTGTTTGTGCGTTCGTTTGTTGGTGCGTTACTTTGTTTCCGTTCTTGCTTGTTTGCTTGCTTGTTTGTTTGTTCGTTCATCTGTTTGTTTCCTTGCTTGTTTGTTTGTGTGTTCGTTTCTTTGTTTTTTTGCCTGCTTGCTTCCTTGCTTCCTTGTTTGTTTGTGTGTTCGTTTATTTGTTTTCTTGCCTGCTTGCTTCCTTGCTTCCTTTTTTGTTTGTTTGTTTGTGTGTTTGTTTGTTTGTTTGGTTGGTTGGTTGTGTGCTTGCTTGCTTGCTGATTGGTGTCGTTGTTAGAACCACCCCACACAAGTCACACAAGTGACAGTTTTGAAAGGGAACCTGCTTGACACCATTTGGGAACCTTGCAGTTCGATGTAATTAGTTGGCCAATACAGGGGGGTCCTTCAAGAGAGATTCCTCGACAGTGAATGGCGTTTTCCGCCGGATGGTTTCAAAAAGAAATGGAGACAGATCCACCAAGGAGTCAAGGATGTGGATTCCAGTTCGGCTTTCGCGAGGTGCAAGTTCTCCGAACTTTGAGTGGGTTCGATTGGCAGCATGCTAACCCAGTTTGGTGAGCTCGATTTGCTGCCAGCTTCGCTTGGGGCGAACGGCTTGTCTTTCGTGGGACCACTTGAAGCCATCGGCAGCTACGCCAAGCTTCTGCTGATGGCACCCTGTTCGCTAGAGATGAATGAAAGGATCCCCTTCAACTGGCTTGGCTAGTTTCAAAAGAAATACACAGATAGACAAACCATTTCTGGGTGCTAGTAAGTGTAGTAGTTCTTGACAAATCAGGAGAGGGAATATTTTCAGGATTTCTCCTCATGGGTAGCTTATGCCTCAAAAAAAAGTGGGCTGCGCAAATTCTTGCGAGGGAGATTGCAACCTCGGATCTTATGAAGTCCATTTTTGAGATCCTTGTTTCCGGTTGGCGGCGTCCCTGTTTCGCATGCTGCTGGTGGCACCGCTTTGGCGCGGCCAGACACAGACGGGTTGCAAAGCGGAGAAGTATTGGTTTGCCTTCTTCTTTCACAACCAGACATGGTTGAGGATCCACCCAAACAGGGGGTTGGAACCCTGCTTGTAGTGTCGACCTCGAATCAATTACCCTGGTGGATTAGTGGGGACGCTTCCTCTAAAAAGTGAAAAAGGTCCTCTTGAATGCCAGCTCCCAACCGTTGGGTGGTTCACATCACATTGTGGATCAACTTGGGTTTCCTTTCGGGCTAATGTTTAAAGGGGAAAATGGGGAAACCTGCTGGATTCCCATGAAGTGGAGCCCCAGGTTCCACTACAACAACACCTACCGCCGGGCCCTTGCCCGGCGTTTGCGCGACTACGCGGTGCCAGAAGATGCGGGGACCCTGGTCCGGGTCTGGCCGTTGGGGTCTGCCCACATCGCTGTGGATGTGGCAAACTTGGGTTTCGGCCCACTTTTCGTGATGCCAAGAGAAATCCTCTTAGTAAATCCGCTTTCTGACGGGCGGACTTACTTTTGATTTGTTGGCTTGAGCATTTCGGGGTGGTCAAAGCCCCTGAGACCCCCCCCCCAGAAAAAGTGTGAACACACACACACAGTTTTCTCATGTCCTGTTGGGGAAGGCGTCGAGCATTGTCCGTGGCGACCGATTTCTCACATTGATTTCTGAGCAAATAGGCGATTCGTGGCCGTGTTCCCAATTGATCCAGGAGCAAAGGAGCAAGTGGAAGGTGCCAGTAAACATGAGCAATTCAGTTGGTCTCCAAATTGGGACCCCCCCATTTTAGGTATTTTCCTTTGTGATTTGCTCCCCCGTCCTTTCGGGATTTTTACTTCAGGCGCACGCAAGCAAACCTAGCATAAACAAGTAGGTGCCACCTCGCACGACCAGGGGACTCGGCCAGAGGGCCGAAGGCCATAGTTTCAAGGGGGCCACCTTGGGCCAACATGAACCCTCTTTTTGTATACTTTTACAGGGGAACGGAGCTAAGCCTCACATGTTCAAGCGGTTCTGTCTCCAAATAAGGGATCCGCGAAAGGTGTGTTTGTGTGTGTGTGTGACCACAACCATGCCCCAACCTCTCTACGTGGTGCCCAAAATGAACCCCGATCTTTTTACCGGGAAAAAGAAGCAATGCCATGCGAATAACGCGGCCAAGCGCATTATGTTGCAACCATTTCAACACCCCACCAAAATGAGTGGTGTTCCTTTGGGTTTTGCTTTTTTCCGAAGCTTCTTGTCCCCCCGATCGCTTGCACCAATCGAGAATCATGTGTTTGTTGCATCCGAAAGACGCCCATGTAAGCTAGAACCCTTTTAAAGGGTCACCCAAAGACCACGTCCATCCCCCGCTGCGGTCTCCTCTAACATATGTTATATAGACTAAATCTGAAACAGACACTCTGAATTTCTGTGTACTCCTGGTGGTTCAGCCAACCAGCCGGTCCGACTACCCGTCGGATCGATCCGGCCGCGGTCGACTCGAGGTGCGGAACGCCTTCGCGGTAGACCTGGACGCGGAGTTGGGGAAGGCGCCGATGTCGGCGGCCATGAAGGTCCAGGCCCAGGCAATGGCGGTTTCGTGTCGCTTTCGTGTCGCTCGCGGTTTTTGCAAATGAGGTTTTGGCACATGGGAAAGACGGGAACACATATGGCCGGAGGGGGCCGTGTTTTCTGGAAGGGTACGGGACCACCCATTTATTTGTTTCCCCAGATAGCTGAAGGCTATAAGGGTTTCTTACCAAAGACGGGCAGGCTGTTTTGCGAGTTCGGGCCAGTTTGGTGCTGCAGGTGCTGTTCGGGGTGCGCTCCTGGCCGTGCCTGTTTTACGATGCTTGTTTGGCGATGCAGCCAGGGTGCTGGTCAGAGTGCTGTTGAAAATCTCCCATGGGGTGGACAATGTGGAACAGAATCATGCATATAATGTTTGGTCGGAGGGCTGAAGCTGAGGCTGAGGGGGGTGAGGGTTGGAGGGGGGGAGGGGCACATGGCTTTCCGTTTTGGGGTGGAAAGTCCGCTACCAGTTTGGGCTTGAGTTTGCCTTGGAGTCATCCCAAAATGAAGCCCTGTGATGGTTGCAGAGAGCCTCAAGACTCAAGAATGAAGGCTCCAAGAGGGGCCTCCGTCAACTCAATCCAAGAGGCACACACCTCAAACTGTTCTGCACCTTGCCGAAACCAGAATCAAACAAATTGAGTAGGTGATATGGATTTGGAACTTGCTGCACTGACTTCTTCCTTAAAACTGTGGCGTCCAGTTTTGACATTGCTTTCCGGACTGCACTTTACACTGCATAGTACAAGGGGCTGAGAATATTGCTAATATATCCCATGTTCCTGTGGTCATGACTTAGAATTTGATTTTGTGGTACCCCGAACCCCTACTCTAAATATTCAGCACATTGTATTGGGTGTATTCGAGGTCGTTTTTCGTTGTTTTTCTTGTCCAAAGGCACCTTTGCACCGAGCTGTCGGCCCTCATTTGCTTTTGCTCGAGAGGTTCTGGCAGCCGCGTAAGCCGGAGGTTTTCTGTGGGTTGGGTAACTGTTGACCCCATTGGACACCGGGAAAAGGCGGAAGCTGCAGACGGTGGTGTTTGCCAGGTGTTTCAAAGGGTACTCTGTCGGTACACCTGTGGTTCCAAGGACGTTTGGTTGCCTTTGTCCCAACCCCGAGCACGTCATGCTCTCAGTACCGTCGGGAAATCACTGACCAACTGAAGCGTGGCACCGGTGGCGAATGGGAAACCATCACTCGAGCACAAGGTTCCCAGTTGCCTTCCGGTGCGCATCGCCGGGGATCCAGGCGCCGCATTTTGTTGGGCCAAATTGCCCATGCCATCGCAACCATGGCAAAGACCACTGACACTCAAGAAGCCCCTACAGAGGGCCTTGCTGTTTGACACTCAGCCAACAACTAAGACAATTACTAGTCACCCCAATGATGGGTATGTGTCAAACTAGGGTGAACTTTAAGTTGCCTTTTTCCTTTGGGCTTTACTTGTAAACCAACTTAAAGAAGGGTCCCCTCGAAAAACAAAGCGCTCCTGTGTTGTGTTTCTTTAACTTTAGCGGCCACCTGGGATCCTTGGCATGCGCCGATGTTTAGAGGCTGCGACTTGGGCAACCCAAGTGGCAGCCGAAGCTGGGGATGACTCGTCCTCAAGGCGTGGACATTTGCGAACTCTTTGTTGCACCTCATAAACACTGGTGTCTACACACGTGTTTTGTATATAAATTATATATATAGCATGTATGCGCATGTCACATGTCATACATAAAAGCTCTGTTGTTCCATTTTATTACGGTATTTTGCCGTAACCTCCTGGTTACCACAGAGAGTGCTCCAAATGCACAGCTCTTGCTGCCTCCTGCTTTCCTTTCCACTGCATTCTATTCTGGACATTTACTTGATCTTTTTTGGAAGGCCGTTAAGGACGTGCAGGAAGTGGGCACCTTGCCATGCACAAATGCACAAATTGCAGTTTCCAGTGGAAGGCATGCCATGCATTGAGAGGCGTCGAAGCATTTCCCCTTACCTCGCAAGCCTCCCAACGGAGCTGCGAGCAAGTTGCAAGCCGCGGGTGCCGTTTCGGTGGTCAACCAGATGTAAGTTGTTGATCCCGCGACTTGTTTGGGCAGCTTGGCAGACTGAGTTTGCCCAATAGATTCCCTCGAGAATGGAGTGGAGAAATCGAGGAGCTGTTGCCAGGGTTCCATTTGACCCCAAGATAGACTTAAACGAAGATGCGGTTGACTTTTACCAAAGGGAAACCCCTGGGTTTAAGTCTACCTTGGGGTCAAACGGAACCCTTGCGGGATGGGGCCAATGAAGTCTACATAAGCCAAGGAGGAGAGAAAGCGGAGGGAGAGGAAGGATTGGACATGTGTTTGCTTTTGCTCTCGATTGTTTCTTTCCTATGTGGACGTCCGAAGTGGTTGACATGCAGTATGTGCACTTGTGGGCGGTTCATCTCCTTGCAACCCCGGCAACCAACAATGGTATCCCATGGTTAGTGTGAGTTCAACCGCTTGAACGCCCCGTGGCTGTAGCGCAACCTCTGCTGTTCGGCATGTAGGAACAAGCAAAGAGACACAACTGTTGTTCTACTCAGTGTAGGGTTAGCACCAAAGGAACGGCTGTTTTTTGCATCTCCAGGCCCTTCGAGGGCTGCTTTTTGGACAGTTGGGATTTGAACAGCAACAAGCAGTTGGGGGGTGGACAGCATTGGCCTGGAGCTAGCCCACGCCGCAGGACCCGTAGAACATACTTGGCCCTATTCAGCATCAATGCCACACCTCGCTTACGTGGCACCTAACGGGAAAATTGTCGAAATGGTTTTTCCAATTGACACAGGTACTAGTGGGAGGAAGTGTAATCGCAGTGTTTCAGGCTTGCATTCCATTCTGCCAGAAGACGAGCTCGTTCCATCGCGCGCAGCTGAGATCAGAGATGGAGGGGGCAAAGACGAACCTCCTCCGAGTTTCATTATTTTGCATGGAGCCAAGAAGACCCATTGCGCAGATGTTCCAGGATGCGCAAGCAAGAAGTGACCCTGCCAGCAAAAGAAAGCAGCAGCCTTCGCAGCAATGCTGCAGAACCCGGACCTAAACGAGAATCACTGCTCTCTGAAATTGGAAAGGTAGATGCACGTTTGCTTAATGCAGTTGGACCTGGCGGCCAAACCAGGCCGCACGATGGATGGGTTTCAAAGAATGCCAAAGGCACGAAGGAGCTTTCCGATCCGCGGGTAAACTCTGCTCGTCCACAGGGTCGAATGGGAGCACCCCTGTTTTCCGTTTTGGAGACGGCATAAGCAACCTGAAGCCGCCTGGCAGACAGGCTGCCCTCCCCAAAGGGTCCCTGCACAACAACTGGCCCCAAAAAGGTTGGAGGCGAAAACGACGAACCCCTCGCGGCACATTCGCTCATGGGCCATGCGGCCGCAACCGCGCTGTTGCTGCTGCCAGTGGCGGTTGCGAGGAACGTCAACGTTCCCCACCCCGAGGAGCAGCGTTTGGACCAAAGGTGCGATTGGTTTTCAGGTGCTCCTACATGTGGTTTCAAACATCACCTGCTTGGTTAATTTCATATGAGTTTCCCCTGGCAGGGGGACATTTTTGGGTTGGAAACATAGGAACCCTAGGTTTGATTTCTATAGCAAACATGCTTTAGGTCTGTGTTTTGTTGAGGGTACCCCTCTTCATGGTGTAGAGGGGAACCAAAAGGGTCACACCAGTTTTGGGGTCCACCCAAATTTGACAGATACCTTTTTGGTACACAGTATTCCTTTTCGCACATGTTCGGAAATGTTCGGAGGGAGGGTTAAATGGCACCTCCTGTGTTGCTGGTCTGGCCAGTTTTCTCTGTGTGGCAGGTTTCCCTTATACTAATCAAATTAACTGCACTTTATCCTGTTTCCCCTTATTTGGCCGTCAGAACATCTATGAGTTATCAAGAGAAAAGTGGCTAAACTGGCTTTTTCTCCAAGTGGCACCTGTCTTCCTTTGCATTCCCTTTGTTCTTGGGCTGGTTGTTTTTGAGTAGAAAGTCAAGTTTTGAATTTGGCCGCCGGAGGGCGTGAATCGTAGATGATGG